AAGAGGAGGAGGATGATGCATGCATTGCCTGGGAGCAGCAAGACCAGCAGCCAGCTAGTTCAGCTAAGGGAACGACTGAGTCCATCCACCGGATCCAGCAGTAGGTAGTAGGTCGTCGGTCGCATGCAGACAAAGAAGATGAAGGAGAAGATGAAGGTGGATGATGATGCATTGCTGCGAGCAAGCACAGACGACAACCAGCGCGTTCAGCAAGGGAAGGACCGGTCCGATCCAACGGAGCGAGCAGTGATGGCAGGACCGGGCGAGATCAGTGGAATTGGCAGGGCGGCGAAGCGCAGTGCGACCCACAGAAGATCCAACAGAGGAGAATGACTCGTTATGGCGTGTGTTGCTGGAAGCAACACGAGAAGCAGCAGCGCGTTGGGCAAGGGAAGGACGGGAAGGGACAGCGGGACGCGCATCGCGACTAATCGCAGCACGAATAATGGAAGATCCAGCAGATGAGAAAGACTCATTGCGAGCATCGATAGATGAAGAAACAGAGACCTGGCGGGATGGAGGGGCATCGGGGCGGGCAGGGGCGGAACGAACATTGCGACTCAGCGCAGCTCGAACAACAGAGGATCCAGCAGATGAGAAAGACTCATTGCGGGCATCCACAGAAGAAGAAACAGAGACCTGGCGGGATGGAAGAGAAGCAGTAGAAAGAGCACTGCGGTTGCGCTTAACCGCAGCACGGATGACGGAAGATCCAGCTGATGAGAAAGACTCATTGCGGGCATCTACGGAAGAAGAGACAGAGACCTGACGGGATGGAAGGGTATCGGGGCAGGTAGGACGAGAATTGCGACTCAGCGCAGCTCGAACGACGGAGGATCCAGCTGATGAGAAGGACTCATTGCGGGCATCCACAGAAGAAGAGATAGAGACCTGGCGGGTAGAAGGGGAGGTGACAGGGGAGGAGGGCCTCACCCAGGCGGGCTTGTAGCTCACCTTGTGAGGCCATGAAACGAAATCAGGTCCGTTGCGCCGTCGGGCCGCACGGTCGTTCGGCACAACAGGGATACCTGGAATGTGATATGAAGACATGGTAACTATACGTGATGGTAATATGTGATAGCAGTATGTATGGTATGGATGGTATGGTAAGCATGGAACTTGAAAAAGAGAAGAAGAAGAAGAAAAACAAAAGGAAAACAGAGGGACAGCCTCGCATTTATACCCTCGAGGCGTGCTGTGGCTTCCATAACAGGCAATTCCCTTTGTTTTGGGTAGGAGCAGCGTGTTGTCGGGGGAGCGTGCTTGCCGTTGGGAGTTTCCGGGTTACCTCTTCTAGAAGGAGTGGGTTTCTATTTTGGGAAACTACAGCTTGTTTACATCCATTCCAGCAGGAAACGGCAGGTGCCTCCTACTGTTTTGTACCATTTTGGACCTGTGTTGCATTACGAGAAGAGACGTGGGGTGATGGTTATTCGTGTATTGACATGTAAGCTGCATTGATTCCTAGAAATCGATGCTCGAGTTATAATGGGCATGTAGCGAGGAGGCGATAGGTACCAATTTCATTGGTATTTTCATCCGGAGAGCCGCGGCGCATCAACCCGCTAGCCAGAATGCTATAAATTCGCAAGGAACTGCGAATCAAATCATGCTGCCCACCTTCAATAGCTATAGCTGCGAGTTAGACGAGTGTCAGTATAGAAAAGTAGGATCAGGTTTGTGTTATATATCCGTACGAAATCCTCTGCGTCTGGTTCTCTGTTCTGACTGCAGGATCCCCAAGCTCGTTGTCTACTCTGAGATGCTCGCATAACGACGGCGAAGCAGTGAAATGTCAGACGGACATAAAATGGCAAGTCTAGGACAACAATACCGCGTCTCTGCTTCACAGCTTCCTACCTCGAGCCACAGTGGAGCCGTGGGGCTTCATTGCGTGGCCCCATAGAGCTAAAGTTGACGACAGTCCTTAAAAGTGGAAGCCGCATGGCGTACAAGGCGGAATGAGAATCGATTACAGCGTTATGATTCTAGAATCAGACCTTAAGCACAAGCTAGGAGAATCCAGTTGAAGCTTTGAGGTATGGGTCATATACAAGTCAACGAGCTTCGGACGTCTATCGAAGAACGCCTACTTTTGTGTGAAGAGTGTGTACGGACGCCGTTCAGGGGGAGAGTTTGCTTCAAGATTCGAGAGACGTGATTATGTTTGTGGATGATTGCTAAGAGGTATGTATCAGGCCTAAAGCGGTTTCTCGCATTGGTTATATTAAGGCTCTAACAGGAGGTAGGGTTTCGTACGAACACTCATTTCCAGTATATAATGCCGTCCATCAATCTCCTCGCCGTTCGATAAACAGAAGCCTTCTCGACTTCTCCATCAGCCTTGATACTCGCGCCAACCACTAGTTTCCCGCTAGAATGCCCAATCACCAATTCTTCCTTATCTTCCACGCTGGCCCGAACAAGTTGGTTGACCACAGAACCCTGGATCTTCGCTGCGACGGCAAGGCTCAAACTCGTCGTTATCGGCAACGCCCTGTGCGGCTGGCCCACAGAAATCGCACGCACCACGACATCAACGGAATCACCGTCTAATATCTCCCCAGAGAGCAACGAATGCGAACTGGGTTGAGAGACGAAACATATTTTCGGAATCGACGCCGGGACCTCTCTTGGAGTACTCGCCATCCCCATCTTCATCGTAGCTTGTTGTCTAATCGACTCCAACCTGTCCAGCAATCCAGGTACGTTCTGCGTCTCATCGGGAAGTATAGTTCCACTAACACCAAGCTCCTCAGCCGAGACAAACACCGACGGATTCCCCACATCCACACACGTAGTCCTGATACCGTCGAAATAATCCACCACGTTCCCCGTTGGCAACATCTTCCCAGTCTTCGAACCACTAGGCTTTATGAAATCAAGCTTAACTTTTGCAGCGGTCCCGGCCACCCCGTCGATCGCAAAGTCACCATGCGCCAGCGCCTCACCACCATGCACCGGAAACGTAGCCTCAATAACCTTATCCGTATTAGTATTATATATCCGCACGGTCACATCCCCATACTCGCACGTTGGCCTAATAATCCCCGAATCCACAGCAAACGGGCCAATCGCACTGCTCAAATTCCCACAATTCCCCGAATAATCAATATCCGTAGATTTCACCCCGACCTGCACAAACGTAAACTCCACGTCAATTCCCGGTCTATCCGATGGGCCCACGACGCATATCTTCGATAAGCTCGATATGCCACCTCCCAGGCCGTCAAGTTGGCGTCCATTCGAATCCGGCGAACCCATCACGCCGAGAAATATGGGGGCCCAGTCCGCGCGGGCCAAGGGAAGATCTTTGGTCTGGAATATCACGCCACGAGATGTTCCGCCGCGATAGTACGCGGCTGGAATGCGGTTCTGCTTGAGGCCATTCTGAAAAGATATCGGTGATCTGGAATAAGTCCTCCTGCTGTGCTGGCATTGCTAAGAAAGACCTTTTTGTTAGCACACAGTGATGAGAAGTAAGGGGCAAAGCGCAGGTCTGAAAAAGATTTTCGGTAGCATACGGCTAATTTAGCTTACTCTACATGGTTTCAATCTGTGAATAATCCTTATTGTTCCCCGTAGCCCCATTGCTCCTCGTTGAACATACATTATGCAACCGCTGAAGATCGACGTTGTCTATATTACCAAAAACGGCAGGCTTCTAGAATCTCAGATAGTCTTGGCATTCGGCACGTGGAAACGAACTCGGCTGACATCATCTGTGGGGCTGCCTGCTAAATTGGGAAAAGCAAAGCAAAACATACAAGTCTTTGTGCTGTTGACATTTACTTGCTTTTGAGAACACTTTTAGAATGACTTATGGAATACGGCTTGAATAGCTATATTTCTATTCCTAATAATCAAATTGGATTAAGCCTTCTCTGTCCATAATCACTGGAGTATTAACTGTTAACAATCGGGAGGGAATCATCAATGCACCACTCAAAAATTAAGTTGCAAAAAGGAAACAAAAAGAAAAAATATGAAAGAATGCTCTCTGAGCCTGTTATCCTATAGTCTCACCAATCTTCCTGCGCTGAATCTGCAGGTTCCCACTTGCGCCTTGAAAAAAAAAAAAAAAAAAAAAAAAAAAAGAGAAAACACCATGTTTGCTATGATTACATCCGCCGACGATTCCACAAAATTCGCGAGGGCAGGTATCCGTTTCGTAATGTTCGCCGGTTTCGTGGGTCAATAATATAACTGTGAAAGAGAAAATGTCGCTGGTGAACTCCAAGCATAAACTATGAATGAGTGAGGATGGGAATGGACGCTGCGGTTGCGGGGTTAATTGGTTATCCGTTTCGCGCTGGGCTGAGCGATAGTTTCGGAAACGTTTTCTTATGCGAATTTGGAGTAGGCCTAGAATCTCCAACCCTCGCGGAATCGCCGGAAATCAATCTTAGCAAGGTGTTTCCCTGTATCGAGAACCTGTTGCCAATACGGAGGGATCTGTTTATAGAAAGAGTGCAGGTCGGGGAATAAAGCGGAGTGAGGCATGACCGCCAGGATGATGGCAGTGAGGAGGCTCAAGAAAAAAATAAAAGTCGGAACGTACGAGCTTTTATGGTCTTTCTTTTTCCTGAAACGGTCGATTATCCGCACCATCTCCCTTCTTCCCGCCGAAGCGTTGACTTTCTTGCCACCGAGACTCATACTGACCTTCTCGCTGGTGCAAGCCTTTAGCAGCCTATTGATCAAAAGATGTCGCATGGTCAAGCAAACGAAAACGCCGCAGTCGCTGCTATTTTCCTGGACAGGGGAATCGTCGAGTTGAACGAAGCGGAATCCACGATCGAGGATCATGCTAACTTTTTGCGCGACTCTCAGGGCTTCGTTGCGATTTCCTGGGGGAAGGGAATCGTAATGGAACGCAACCCCATCAACAACTGAAACGAGGAGCAAAGACCAGTGTGTGCCGCCCTCGGCTTCTGTCAGGCTACGGCAATCATTTATGGGTAGGAAAATATGGCTGGCTTTTGAAAAGTCGGGTAGCGCTCCTTGTAACGTGCGAGGGTCATGTGTCCGGTAGAGTAGATACGACATACTGGGTCGTAGGAGGATGATGTTGGTGGTTTGATATTGTGAAATGACTTCGCGCTCGAGGTACCTGGCCAGTTTTAAACATCTACGCGATGAAGAAGAAGGGATAGTTAGAAGCGTACTCTTCCCAGAACGCGATAACCTATTGAGACGAACGTTAGCTTGCGAGACTGAATGAGCTGATCCATTGGCACCCACATTATCCGTCAGCCAGTCATTCTTCAGCGTATCAACGTCTTCATTCGTCACTACCAATTTATCAGTTCGCAAGGTCCTACTCTAGCAAAAGTACCCGGTGTATTAACTGAAGAGCCGACGTACAGCTAATGTCATGGTCTAACAGGGATGTTAGTACGCCATCAAGGACATTCAGACAAAGTTGTTGACTTACATGTAAGATAGGTATCGTCAGGGCTGGCCTGCGTCAAGTCAGCACAGAAAAGCCTCCGGACACACCCCAATAGTCTCTCAAAACCCATGATCAAAGCTCATGAGTAGGAAATGAAGTCGCATTCACGCTACTCGTGAACGGCGAAAAGCTGACGAGCCGAGGAGCCCAACAGCCTCGCCGCCGAGAGAAACCGGAAAAAAAAAAGGGAGCAAACAAAAGAGTAACAAACAAATCACGATGCTTATCGGAGCAGAATGTAAAGCCGCGAGAAACGTTCGTTCCAAGTATTCCCCAGTACAGTACCGAAACCGAAAACAGTGACACAGAAAGGCCCCATCTTCGGAACGGACGCAACAAAGGGAACGACCAGAGTAAGTGAAAGCGCACAACGGCTCGAATCAACATACCGGCTCGGCCAATCGCCCGCGCATTCGGTCGCGGAATCGATGAAAGCTACCTTCACCCATCATAGGCGCGTATATGTATATTTCCTCCTTTCTTTTTACCCGAAGCGTGTAAATTCGGCGTTCAACGTATATAGTTCACCAAGCTTGGTTTATGCAGCCGGGCAAAAGCTCTCGATATCAGTTGATTCACGACTCGTTAATTGTATCTAGTTCCTCTCTAGTTTTGGAACGACGTCAGTGTTCTAGACCTCAACTCGAAAACGCGCATCGCAGAAATCCTTCCAAAGGAGAAATCGGGCCTGGGCTTCGTTCAAATGCAAAAACGATTCTCTGTTGAACGAGAAGGTCTTGCAGCTCCGATGTAACCATGTCGAGCAAGGAAGATCGCAGCAAACTAGGGGGGTTTGACGATGAAACATACCGACTCCGGGTCTCACTGCAGAGGAAAACGGGGGACAAAAACAAACGGGGTTCAGAACAAAAGAGTCGTAGCAGCGTCAATCGTAAGTCAAATTCGTTAACTGGCGTAGTGGAAGATGGGGACGTTCAACTCTTCGTCGGCGTTGGAATCAACTTCAGACAAGAGAGAAGCGCCAGGCGATGATGTAAGAATTGGACTGGCCTCACGTGCACAACAGCGACAAACCGGGAAAAAGCGAAGGGAGCAGGAACAAGAAAGGCGGGAAAAATATATAAAATAAAAAACACTCAAAGCGACATCAAGCTGGGCATTTGTACGTCCATGCAGAATCACCGATGTCGTGCTCTTGTCGTGGCCGGCACCAGCTGGCAGAGCTGCCGGGTTGCTGCGGGCTCTTCATTTCCCCTCACGTCCAACAGAAGCGAAGAATCCGCCACTGCGGCCCTTGGCAGGCGATCGAGATGGGCCATTTCATTTGAGCCTGCTCGCCAATCAGATACCCTGCAATGCCGTCGACGAAGAGGTCTAGACGGGGCGTGGCTTGCATTATTTTTGAATAGTGCCCTTTGGAAAGCATTTCTGTGGTTGGGTTGGACATGGGTCGTTTCTAGGATTCGGGAAAAAGAAAAGGGGGGAGACTATCGAGCTCGATGTTCCCCTTTATCGCATTCTGAGCAACTGGCACGAATAAAATATCTAGTAAAACTGATATCATTGAAGCGAACAAGAGGGGGTAGTCGAGAAGAACAAGCGCCAGACAGCCATCAAAAATTGAAAAAAAAAGAGCACATACAACAGCGACAAGCGCGCTAAAGCCTTTCGACATGATCCCTAAACAAATATATCGTCACAAAAGTATTCGAGAAGGAAATGGGAGTCAAAAAGATCGACGGAAACCCCAAGAGGGCAAAATAAACTGGCCAAAAAGGGGAAAAGAAAAATGGTATAAATAATAAAGCGGCCCCGGTGGGATCCCGAAGAAGTGAAGAAAGAAAAAATGAAGAAGCCAGAGTAAAGGTTCGGACATTATCATCGCATCTGAAGAAGTAGACCCTGATTCATAGTCCCTGCGCCCATATATGCCTTTCGCCCTTGCTAAAGAGACACACAACATATGACCGCGTAAAAAGTGCAACAGCTATTCAAAATATGCCAAAATATTCAATCAAAAAAAGGGAAAGGATCAAAAGGGATAGTAGAAAAGACAGGAAAGAAAAAGCTCCCTCTGAGCTGAGAGAAAAGCAATGTCGCCGAAATCGAAGAGGGAATTGACGTGCGATGAAACAGCCAGCTGAACTTTTGCTTTTTTCGTACAGAACATCGCGACGAAATCATCGGACTACCCTTTCATAATAAAAAGGCAAAAAATAACGATACTTTTCATCCCGCAAGTTTCGCAAAGTGTTTCGTCCAGATCCATCCCACCTGGTGCGTCGGGTCATCTTGGTTCCTCGCCAGCCACAGGTCGCCCTTCTCTCCAATGACATCGAATATCTCCCCCGCGACATACGTCAGGTACGGATACCCAGCTTCTCGACGCGCGCGGTCAATGTTGAATTCAAACATGCTGGCAGCCAGAAACAAGACTTTGGGTTCCTTGGGTCCCGGTTGAGAATCCGGTGGTGTGAGCGGCGTCGACGATTCCGCCATTGGCATTGCAGAGGAGAAGAAACCTGAGTACCGGGAAGCATCGGGCGACGAAGGGTGTTCGGCAATGTTGGGCGGATTGGGCCGGCTGCCATTGCTATTAGGATTATAACCTGGCGAAAGCGGATCGGATAAGAATTCTGGAAAGCGTGGTGTATCAAGGGAGAGTTGCGGGAGGAGCGGAGACGCATCGGTAGTACGGTACGATGTGTTGCTTGCGGCCCCAGTACTTGGAGTGGCACTGGAACGTGTTGGCGCATTCACCACGGTATTCATGGAAGGTATATGAGTGCCGGAGAAGTTGGAGTTGGTGCGTGAGCGTCCGCCAATATGGGCATGCGATCCGTTGGGATGGTGCATAAAACTTTCTCCGTGCGAGGGTGATTGCATGAAACTCACAGGTGGATTTGCCCCAAACTCCACAGACACCTTGGGGGACGTGCCATGCTCAACGGAGAATGTTCTTGTTGTGGTGCTGGACGGCCTTCTTGACGATGCCGTTTCCGCACCATGTGATGTCGAGGGCGCGCTGAAATTATGGACATTCACCGTGTCGGCGAGAACAGTACCATTGCAAACACCGAGCGAGAGAACTTGAGCTTCGCTGAATGTGAAATCGCCCGACCAGTCGTTGATGATCTGAGCAACGTCCTGCGGCATTCGATCAATGGTATAACCAAGTCGCTTTTGCATCAGGGTGTGCCAAACGGTCTGGAGCTGAACGAAATTATTTAGGCACGCCTCCATCAACTTGCCAGTCAGAGACAAGAGCTGTGGAAGCTCTTCCTTCAAAGTGACATTCAGGGCGATAAATTGCTCCCCAAGCTCTGCGGTCTTCTTGTCCGGTTTGTCGCCACGATCTTTGACAGCTTTATACTTCACATAGTCGAGCAACCGTTTATTTCGCTTCTGCATCACTCTCTGCGGCCCATCGTGCAGTTTTAAAAGAGTCACCATCGGGTTGATAACACTTTTCCGGACCGAAGCAAGCTAAATAACATCGTTAGCTTGCACTAGACTCATGACTGAGGAGGGTAACTTGCATGATCAACCAGAGCCACTGCGATAATATCTTTTGCCGCCAACCTGAACCGACACCACTTACTCTCTAGCTCTGGATAATTTGACGGTGCGACAGTCATATAGGCTTCAATCGCGATGATGAAGTCGTTGAACTTGTTTACCGAGTTATGCATCTCTGTCATATAAAGTTCCACGTCACGCATGATAAGCTGCAACTGGAAGAAATTGTCGCCAAACTTTTGTGAGAGTATATCATACTCCTTGTCCGTGAACATTTCCGAAAGGCCAACATGTTGCTTTAGCTTCTCCGTGCGACGTCCAAACGCCTTTGATAATCCTGCTCGAACATCCGATTCCTTGCGCTTTCGACTACTCACGACTTGTCCCACGAGGTCGGCTCGCTTTTTCATGTCATTAATACGTACCGACATTGCAGTCGTTTCCCGAAGAGCGTCAGCAATGGCAGCATGGTCGGGGTGGTCCGTCGGTGTCGTACTGAGCAGTTCAGTCAACAGCAAAGGGTATTTGAGCACTCGCTGCACCGGTTTAACCAGCAAAGAGTCCAGATTCCAGGCCGCAGTAAGATCTGATGCCCAGTCCCGACATTCTTTCAGCCAAATGCTCACATTTTTATTCTTATCCTTCAGGAGAGAATCCAGAGTCTTGTTGGCAGCATCGTGATTCTTCAAGTACTCCGAGTAAACCTTTTCCATTCGACCAATCAGCTCCATGAACGCCTGGCCGATTGTCGTCTTTCGATCCTTTTCGTCATCTGACATTTCCGGGGTTTCTGGAACGATAGTACTTGCAGTGTACCTACTGGCCCGTTTGCTCAGCCAGCGCTGTGATTTGGGCAGCACGTATACACTCTTGGCAGCTTGCTTCAACGCATCCTGGAAATCCATCGAGAATTTCACGACCTGCTCAGAATTCCCAAACAGGGTCTTCACATCCTCGGGAGTTAAGCCGCAGGAGCTCGAGGTGCCTTTGTAAATGTCGACAACTACGGTCATATCTTGCCCAAAAGTATATTCCGT